AAGCAACGCTTACAATAGCCATTGTAAAGCTCGCGTGGCGACCGGCGTACGAGAAATATTATAGCGCATTCTTACGGCGTAAAATCAGATTTACGTTGAAAAGGTTCGGGCAGCGTGGAAAATGTTGGGAACGCGCGAGGACGCGTGCGCGCGCGCTGTGTTTCAACAAGATTCGAAATAATGTAATCCTTGCGAAGACATAATTTCGAAGTTGCCGGCGTCGGGATTATTCGGGCCGACACCGAGTTATCAAAAAACTTTCATCTTTATTCGAGCAACTTGGCAGCGTCGTAAAAACGGTCTGACTCCAATTTCCTTTTCACGCGCGAGGCCGGATTTCGAAAATCCTCTTAGACCGGAACCCTGCCACCCATCCTTTCGCAGATTCGAAAATTCTGCCACGAAATTTCGCGGCTAGAAAATTCGTCGCCTAACCGGCAAAAATGAATATTAATGCACGGTGTTTATGCGACGGAGCTACCCGACCGTCGTTAATTACATTTGAACTTTTCCAATTTGCTTCTGGCTAAATATTGCTCGAAACTTGCCGCTAATATTTCCTATTTACGGAAGATGCCGCTATTAACATTGGCTTAAAAAAAGAACAGGTAATTACTAAGGATTTGGTTCGTCGTCGCTGGCAAATAGTCTGCAAGTTTTGTGGTAGCGAGAAGTCTGGCTAATGGGCACTGCTATGATTCTCCGTGTATTTAAGGCATATGCAAATATTTAGAATAGAGAAGCAATTTCGTATTTCAGTCGAAATTAATGGTACTTGGAAATCGTGCTTACTGTATTTTCATATTATCAAAGTTAAGCACGGACAACGCTGTTCATAAAAATGTTAACCAATTTCACCGACCTTCCGTCTCGATTCTGCTGCTTCCGTTTCACACTTTCTCCCAACTCTTTCCAGCAGGGAAAGCATAACAGTCGTTTTATTATTTTCATTGCTTCAGAAAAGTTGGACGAAATTAAAACGCAGAAATTTACCTATCGCACTCGGATGGCCTCTCTCAGGCGACCCAACACACACACAAAACTGCTGTACAATACTCGCAGGATTAAAAATTTTTGTTTAGATAAACCGATTGTTTCGATTTTACAAAATTTCAAATCCGCGTCGATGCAACGCGTACGTAACGATCACAATTTTGAATTTCAGATAAATGTACGTCGAACTAATTTTCACGAAGGGAAGAATATGCCACGATTTTATATGAAAAATTTACATCGAGAAATTGTTACCACGATCAACAGAATCAGATCCAGGTGTTACAAGTCTTGCCTTCTCGCTTGCGAAAATTGTACAATAAATTCTCTCAGAAATGTTTGGAGGTCGGAATTGAAATCGGGGCAGATCTGAGAATATTAAGTTGTGATTCTTCGGGCCTCGCGGCTCGTTTTTAGAGAAATTCGAGCCAGTCGGTAAAAAAAGCAGCGGCCAGCATGACGGTGTACATTAATATGAATACATAGCAATGCTAGAAAAAAAAACGATAACTTAAATTTTTTATTTTTAATTTTTTACCACGGTTCGAAGGCAATTCGGAGGCCACATGGCACGGTTCGAAGGCAATTCGAAGGCCACATGACACGATTCGAAGGCAATTCGGATGCCTTATGACACGATTCGAAGACAATTCGAAGACCACATGACACGATTCGAAGGCAATTCGGACGCCATATGACACGATTCGAAGGAAATTAGAAGGCTACATGACACGATTCGAAGGCAATTCGGATGCCATATGACACGATTCGAAGGCAATTCGGAAGACTGCACCCTTCGTATATTTATGTCTCTGGATTCTCAGAATAATCTCTTGACGCAGCAGGAAACGTCGCAATAAAAAAAAAGTAATTTCTCAAAATTACCAGTTTTTTAAAAATTGTAGCATGTAGCGTAATATTTAGAGAATTCGCGCCTTTTCTCCCACGCCTCATTGTTCAAATTTTATAAAAACATACGTTGCGTTTATGAACAAAATTACCGTGGAAGTTATCATTTCGCTAATAAACACATTCTGCTAACGAACACGCTAACGGAGGTGATTCGAGAAACTCCTCTGCGCGCGAAGGGCTGAAAATAAAAGAAACGTTTGCCAACCTACTCCGGCTAAAACGCGGTTTACATTAACAACAGGACGTCTGCGTTCGCATGAAAACGCCGGCTAAGAGTTTATCGTTGTCGTTGGAATAATTTCGCGCTGCGCGCGGTACCCGCAACGACGGTCTATCCGACATTCGGTAACGGGAGGGGTGGGTGGTTGGGGGAGGTAAAAAATATTTTAGCGGCGATCGTATCGTCGAAATAAAACGGGCTTCCAATTAAAAGTCAACAACGCCGCCTACGAATCGTAGAATTAAATGCAATAGACGCGGATAACGTTGCGAAAGTAATAACAGAGTCGAGCCGGAAACAACTTCCCCGGACTCGGGTTTTGTTTTTGTTTTTTTTCTTTTTTCGATCTGGACCAACGACCTTATCTACTCCGGACAGCGGATGTGTCAGTGTTTACACGATTCGTGCGCTCGCACCCCCGCGAACTACCTTTTGTTTATCGCCGTGCTCGCCTCTGTTCGATGTTCCCTGCCTCGTCCCTTACCTTCTCGCCCACGTCCGTGACTTTTTGCTCTAATTAACTGTCGGCCGCTCTTGCGTTCAAACCCGAACTCGCCGCTCGCGCTGATCCGCCGTTACGCTTTTTCCGCGGCCGTTTTTCCAGACGACGTGCTCGCAAATTATTTCACCCTGATTTCGCCGATGGATCGGTCATTTTATTCGATCGCTGCGAGAACAACCGCGCGGCTCTCGTTGCATTGGAACAGTATTTCGTTGCATTTATAGTTTCAGCATGAGAATGTATTTGTATAAGAATCTTTCGTGTCTGTACAATATTGCCGACAGGGAACCAGCTCGTTTATCTGTGCCATAACATTTTGAACATGTACCTCTCGGTTGGAGTCCTGTTTTACGGGATATCGTGAAAAGTGTTGCGTTTAATTATGCAGGAGCAAGTTTTTCTGATTTCGCGTCTCGCTTTACGAGCATTCGATGTGATCGCAGGAATTTTCATCTTTAGAATCGGGGAATTTTGACAAAAAAAATGGAACTTCAAACGTATCGAACGGACTTCGCAAAACAATGAGAGCGGAAACCATTGTGCAGAAGAATAAAATGAATTGCATGATACAGAATGGTATTAAACGTAACGCGTAATCCGTAATATAGTTTATAACTGAGGCTACAGAACGAACAATAACGCGCGAAAACGATATCGTTCTAAAATTATATTATTATTATATTTTATTTTATATTTATATTATTATTATATTATTATTATTACAATATATATTATATAATATAAACGAAATCGTTCCTAAAATTATCAGATCTTGATTTCTAACTTATGAAAACAAGAAACATGTTGTGGAAATTTAGGAAAGCTATAATAAGAACGGTTCTTAAAATGATCAGAATTCGATTTTTAATCTGTATGCAAAGAACATTTCTTGTAAACATTTAACAAATCTCTGAAACAAATGGTTCCGCAATTGTAAATTATCGGAATTCAATTTGTAATCTGGGAACAAGTGAACAAGTTAAAATTCAACAGCGCTCTAAAAACAATCATTTTTACATGCGTTTGTTCAACGTGGAAAACGCTGTGTTTAACTTTTTAATAACAGTGATGGCGTAAGTAAAAATTTATCGTGTCCTAGAAATTAACAGAAATTAAGGGAAATAATTTTTTCACGTAGCTTCGTTGTTCCCAATTTCGGCATCCGGTCGGCGAAAGGGTGGATTTATTAATTAGCGAACTTGTCAGATAGATGACGGTGTAATAACATTTTTATGACACGACGATTCAGCCTGGAGGAGTGTAACGTATCTTATCGTCCCGCAAAATATGACATGGCGAGCACGTATAAGACGATAACACGGAAGAACGAAAATAGCAGGGTGAAAAAGGATTCGCCGAAATCGCGTTGTAAGCTCTTTGAAGATATCCCTCTTTCTCGCCGGAGATACCAGGGAAGATCGTCGTGCAATTTTTTTTCTCTGCCGTAAATATTTGTCGAGCAAAGGCTGCGCAGCGAATTGTACGTTGGCGACATTTATCCAGCCACGTAACAATTACATTTACGAAACGCGAGAATTGGCAGGAAAGCGAATACGTTAACCCGAGAAAGATAACCTACGTCGCAGAGGCGCCTGCGAAGACTGTTGATTTTTGTTAATTTTTCATAGAGGTCTAGTGATTTAAGTTTAAAATTACTTAAAATATAAGAAAATATAATATAAATGCATTTTATTTTTACAATAATGCCAAACCTTTAAAATGACTAGATTAACTTAAATAAATATCCATTGTTAGTATAAAATTGACGCCTTAGAAAAGCATGCGCCTCTGAAGCGTATGGTTATCTTTTATGTACGATGTCATATGGTTATCTTTCTAGAGTTAAGGAAATAAATTTTTATTTGTTTGTAGACAGGGTGCAAATAATACAGTAAATTCTCCCTAATTTTCCTTCAGCTTGTAAACAAAAATGGACAATTTGGGAAGAGGAGACACGATTATTCGAACCTCGCGGCTCATTTTTATAGTTGCCGATTGTCAACAATTATAAAAACGAGGCGGCAAATTATCCATTTTTGTTTACAAGCTGATGGAAAGTTAGGGAAAATTTGCTGTAACCGGCAATAATTTGTAATTTACCGATTTTAAATTGTCGTTAAGTCCAATATTGAACAAACCATCCGATAACATTATTTTATAATATTTAATACGTAATAAGGCGAATAACCGCGTCTGCCAAATCAACATAATTCGCTCATGCTTCGACATAAACATCGCATCAGTATTAATTGCGCGAATACTTTCGATAAATTATTGCAGAGTATGCTCGCGTTAAAACAGAAACTCGATTATGCAATTATATTTAATTTGATGACAGATATGTAAAACCTGATATTTTGCTGTTTCAGTGCGGTGGATTTCCGTGTGTCGAGAATGTGAAACGCAAATCGCCAAGGGTGAGTCTCGCATGTGTCAAAAGTAGCTATTTAAATTAAATATAATAATCGATTTCACACGCTCGCTGCATCGAGCGAGGTCGCGACAAAAGGAAGACAATACTAAAGTTATTCGCCATTGGTGGTTCAAATTTCTCGTCAACCGGTGGTTTTGCAAACAAATTACAGGTTCACATAATTCTCTGTCTAGGTTATTAATTATTACTCAAATGAATCGTTTAATGGTCATTTATGAGAACATTTAACCCGAGCGTTGTGTGTAAGGATCGTTTATAATTTAGTTCAGCAATTTCTCCGACGTGTTTTGCAATGAAACGTGTACAAATTTAAACGGAGAAGCTAGATAACATATATTTGAGAAATGATTCTTATATTCTAGGTTATACAGACCCACGTCGAGCAGTCCAAATCTTAAATAGAAATCTCATGTATAAAACTTGTACGATTTAGCACTAGAGTGTACACGTTTCACAGTTGATCGTGTTAAAAATAACACGAGATCATTTCAAAAGTTTTTCAAATATATAGATTACGATATTTACAAAGCGGATTTATTTTGGAGATACATATCGAAAGTTCAGACAAACTTTGATTTATTAACTTGCTTTGTTATCAAAGTGCAACGATATGCAAATGAACTGTTGTCGTATTACCGAAACACCGTGATTAATGCGCATAACCTAGAAATTTGTAGAAGCACTGGCTGTGTTCATTCCCTATGTTTAATACAATTTGTATGCTATAATACTTTCATTCAAGTTGAATAGATTATCAAAGAGTTACAAAGAGTATAGATATATTCAAAAATGCATGAGAAACAAATTCGAAATATTCGGGGACTTATCGGTATTTGGGTCACGATATGACTGGTACAAGCAGCTTTTTGAAGCATTACTTCTATTTTTCATGAATTTTATATCAAATTTAAGCCTTCGACGTTTTTGTGATATATTTATTATATATACATATATATAATAAATATGTCAAAAACGTATATATATATATATATATATATATATAGTTATTAATATTTATAGTTATATATATAGATATATTTATAATTATTAATATAACTAGATAATTAAAAACAATATATATATATAGTTATTAATATAACTAGATAATTAAACAATATGAAATGCTAGAAAAAGTGCATTTTTATGTAAATTTCGGCTGAAGATATACAGATGAACGAAAAATTATGCTTAATGTGTCGGTAATTGGGAGCCTTAACTTAATACAATACATTTTCTCAAAAATGGAAGATTTGAGAGGAGGAGATACGATTATTCGATCCTTGCACCTCGGTTTTCATGGTTGTCGAAATCGGCGATTATGAAAACGAGCCGCGAGGCTCGAATAATCGTGTCGCCTCTTCCCAAATAGTCCATTTTTGTTGACAAGCTGAGAGACGATTGTAGAGAATTCACTGTACTTCGACAAATTTCCATGACGAAAAGAAATCGTCGCGCCTGTTGGAGGTTGTCTTCCTGGTGTGACGAACTATTTCACCGTGCTCGGTTAGAACAGGCTAAGGAAACAATTCCAAAAGATAGACGCATTGAAAGGTTCGGATCACACCTGCCGCGTCAATATTCGCCGGAATTGGTCGCTGGTCGAGGACTGGCCATTTTGACGGAGTGAAATGGGCATCGGGCAGCTGGAGAACCAGGCAAGAGCCACGACAGGCTGCGAAGACGAACGCGGGACGATCGGTGGACGCATTCCCTGCGTAGTGTGGTGGCCACGTTACATTCGATCCGGTACGACCCGAATTGCTATTTGCAAGCAGCGCGAGGCCTCTGCATACATGCATTGAATGCGCGGTTAATTACGATCGTGTGTGTTCGCTCGCAACCAAATGAACTCGAGGAGAGTAGCTCTATCCGCGAGGCGAGGCGAGGCGAGGCAAGGCGACGCGAAACGCCCATGTCGTCCCGTTATCGAGATTCTATTAATTGGATCCGAGTAATTTGATTACATAAGAAAGTCGCCTGGAATACCCACAAATTCGTCTTGCGAAGCTTCTTCTTTCCCGACCCTCGTAGACGGGAGACGACAGAGCAGAATAGAAACAGAGCCAGAGCCAGTTATCAGATTGCTATAGCTAGAGTCTGACTTCTATAGCTGGCTTCTGACCTAAGCGGTGACAGTGGTTTCGCCGCGTCCTCCCGGCTAGGGACTGTCGACACCCTCATGCAGTGCCGGCTATAGTTGGAATTGATGTATTGATCTCAGGTAGCAACGGGATCAAGTTCAATATACAGTAAATTCTCCCCGATTGTCTTTCGGCTTGTAAACAAAAACGGACGATTTGGAAAAGAGGAGATACGATTATTCGAGCCTCGCGGTTCATTTTTATAGTTGTCTATTGTCGACAACTGGAAAAACGTGTCGCCGGCCTCGAATAATCGTATCTGCTCTTCCAAAATTGTCCATTTTTGTTTAGAAGTTCAGGGACAATTAGAGAGAATTTACTGTTCTCATGAATTCGAGGCCGTTCCAATAAGCAAGTTTCCTTTCATGGGTTCCGATTACTGCTCGTAAACGATAAAGTTTCAATGACACCGAGCTTGTCGAAGTTATAAAGACTCTTTGATAGGACACATTTCGATCGATTTGTTGATTCAGGCATTCGTGTTGTCATAACAATAGCGGAAGGTCTAAATAAATTCGATCCCGTCATTTTTATAAAGAAACGCACTTAAGTCCCATTTTTCTAAAGGTTCAATTACAACTTCGAGTCAATTGTGAATATTCATATTGCTCTTTATATGGAATGATCTACGAGATAAGTGAACGACAGCATTTTTATGATTGAAACAATGTTATGCTGTTTGCAAAAAAAGAAAATATGCCGTCTTAAAATTATGCTGGTTACTTGAACGATGCGCAATGCTGCACCTCACATAATGCTATAAAAAGAACACTATGATGCTAACAACAATTTTATCCTGTTTACAAGAAAATATTCTCTCTTAAATCAACCCTGATCACTGAAACAAACGAACAAACACGGTTACAATTGGGCCGCGGATCTATGCGCGAAACAAAAATCATCTTTGTCAATTTCAAGAAACAACAAGAGTTGAATAACGATGAATTTTTTCTATCAGGGATTTTAATAATTTAGAAATAATATGTCCATGTTCTTATACACGTCCTGGCGTTTTTACTGTTTCCCGTTTCACGCGATCGTTTTTTCTCAAAAATGCAATACTGTTCACAAAAAGTACGCTGCCTTGAAATATAACTGCTTACTTAAACAACGCACGATTAAGATCCCATCGTATGCAATGTTATGAAAAGGTAAATATTATATGTATAGTTTGGAATCGCGAGTGATTTTTATGTCTGAATGAAAATGTTTAATGTTTACAAATTCCTGGCCGATCCGAATAATTTCTGCATAAAAAGTGCAACAGCATTTCGCGCGCACCGGATCCTATTAAGCGACGCTGCGGCATATTCGAGCAGATTAGGGGTGAGCCGTAAAGAATGAATGGGGTAACAGCGTAGGGTGCGGAACGAAAATGAGCGAGCTCTAAATTCTGTGGCGCGGATAAGAGAAAACGTCGTCGGGAATGGCGAAGAAGTAGAAAGTCTGCAAACAATGTTCCGCGCCTATGTATCTACGTGCAGGCGGTGCATACGACTGCATTGCGTCAGATGCATCGTATGCCTGGTGCATTAGGTGTGGAATAACGATACGTCGTTTCGTCGCCTAGCGTGCCACCGTGATTTGCTCCGGAGCAATAATATTACACGCTCCACAGTCTATTTTACGTCTGACACCAGATTGCTGGCAACCCTCGAAATGATTTTAGACGCTGTTCCAGCCAGCCGAGGAGAGTCCCGGAAATTCCACGAATTTTAACACCGACGAATCGTTTTCTGCGGTCTTGTTTCTTCTAGTATTTAAAAATTTGCATCCTCCGACCGTTTAAGTACCTTCTTCCGTTCCGAGAAAATGCAGCGACGATCGAAACTATTAGCTCGGCTAGCCTTTAATTGTACAGTCCCATGCGAGAAACAATATGATAGTTGATTAATTTCTTCGTGGACAATTATCTTATTAGATGTTATCATCTATTAGAAAATATTCAGCACTAATTTAATCGCGATGTTCTATCGAATGGATTATGCAGATCTTTACGGAAAATATGATGTTTTCTGCATCAGTTGCAAGGAACAGTGGCCACTTGTTCTTTATGTAATCGTTTGATGAAATTAAGAGCGACCTGTCGATAATTACTACTTAATTCTCTTGATCTTTCTCCTCTTTCAATGCGTTCCGTGCCGAGCTGTTTTTACTCGACTATAGAGTAATTCAATCGAATTATAATTATACCGAGGATTTTTTGCATTCATTGCAATTTTGACAGTTCAGAGATGGTTCCAGATTTCTATTTGTCAATTAATGTTGGCAAATTTGCATTCGCAGAAATATTCACAGTAACGATGAAAATAATTTCCTTCCACGATACAAACACGATTTCAGTTTATTCCGTCCTCGATGCATCACTTAATGAAAGAACTCGATTTTTATTCGTTTTCGATAGCTGTCGCTTCATGTTGAAAATGTTCAGTTCGTGCAAATATCCTCGATGATGATGTAAATAATTGTTTTCCTAAAGCTTGATCTGTCGAAGCGTTTCCCTCTCTTAAATAGCGTCTACCATAGATCAGTACTGAAACAATGACTACTAAATTGTTACTATATTGTGACGCTTAAGAACGATCGACAAAGTGCTAATAGTATTCGTCCGAAAGAGCGTCGAGAGACGATCGAATGAATTATAATTTCGAGGAAAAAGGGGTCGAGCATAAGTGACGAGGAAATTAATTTTACAGCGATATGGATTCAATCCTTGTTTCATTATTCATCGCGGGTAAAGTATAGTTCCATTAAAAAGAGATTAAAAGCTACTTGTACAAAAGCGAAGTAAAAATAGAACGAGATCCTCTTTGAGATAGATTCTGATCTGATGCGTTAAATT